CATTTGTTTTTTAGAGTGTAGTTATTCTTTATAATGGGAAATGCTTATAAATCCAACAAGAGAAACTATTATAATGTCATTCAAGTATTTATTTCCATGAAGACATGTTCTTACAACGTCGTTAGTGAAAGATCTTGGAAGAACAGTGTATAGAATAGCTGAGTTTTTCACATTGTAACATTTCACGTTGTAAGAACATGTCTTCATGTTGTCAAAAAACGTTTTCGGCACTGTAGCCTACACCCCGATGAGATCTTGATAAACTCTTATTAGATATTCGAATTTAAATGTTATTCAAATCCAGCAATAGATTATATAAGATTAATAAAGGAAGACACTCCTCATATCTAAATCAACCAGAAGTATCTAGCTGAGGTGGAGGCATGCTTTGGTTGGTATATGTGTCTGCTTTCAGCATGCAGAGTATATGTCGTTTTGAATAAATTCATCGTTATCATCCAAACCATCTAAAAACACAGTTTTCTACAAGATTTTACGGTTTTACAAAATCGATTTTTCACAAGCTACACTACCATGTATAAAAACCTTCCAAAAAGGTGCTACTCGGTTGCCAATTAAAATTCGTAAATCTATATTAATTAGTATTACTAAATATTTCAGAGAATGTTGAACAATAATGACGAGTTTGTTCGAAATAAGAAAACTGCATTTAATATTGAGTGGAGATTTTTATATTGGGCTCTAAAGTCTGCACTTCTTTGAGAGCTTTCCTAGGTTTTTTATCTTTAAACATGATAAAAATAAGAAAGGTAAAAAACAAAAATCCACTTTCAACATTTTATAAGTATAAGTGTATACTTTGATCTCAAACTATAATGATATGTCTAAGTCGTGATTTGTAATACCCGAAGCGTATTTTTCTCGAGAGATGCAGAATCGAAAATTATTTTCAAAGCATTATTTGATATCATCTATGCTTGGTAAAATTTTTGTCAAAATTGGGAGGAAAAAGACGAAAGATCTTTTCGTTGTAAACAATTCCTACATAAATCAATAAGAATCTAGAACAAACTGCATACTTTACTAGAAACAATGAAAATGAATACATTTTATATAATTTATGCAAAAAATCTTTATAATGGGAAATGCTTATAAATCCAACAAGAGAAACTATTATAATGTCATTCAAGTATTTATTTCCATAAAGAGACACTAACTGCTAAGAAATTCAAATTCAAAGCACTTATATTATCACAATCTTGATCCTTAAATATCCTCTTCGATGGTGACATCTCAAACGACATTCATACACTAATATCGACACCATAGTGTATGCATGCTTCAATGCAAAGAAGTTTTCAAGGTTTATCACAGCGCAACTACGGGATGTTAAGAAAGGTAGATACTGGTATTAGTCACAATAATATTTACATAAAAAGCAACTATTCATTGTATCATCTTACTGTGTAAACGTAAATGTTACATTATACTATCTATATTTTTCATATATATTCAACAACTTCTAACAGCTATTCGCAGGAAATGTTATCGTTTTATTATAAGTTTTAGATAAAAACTTGAGAATAATGCGGTCGTATCTTTCAGTATGTTACGTAATGTTGACAGTTTACCACTTGGTTCACAGTCAAACATTTACCTGTACCAGTGTACCCGATTATGACATAAAACCTTTGACTAAGTAAGAAAAAAATTAAGGCTCTAAACAATCGCCAAGTGTCTGTCCTCTAGATGGTACGCTGTACACATCTTTGCTAAAATTACTAATATGAATTACATAAAAGAACTTTTGTCACGTTTAGTGCTGAACAATGGGAATTTTCAGCTAAAGGGGAATGCATCTCTTCAAATCAAACAGATTGCGTCTATTACATGTCGTTTTGTCAACTGGGTAAGATTTTTTAAATCTGTATATCACCTGACAGTTTATATTTCATGAAACGTACTTTGTTCAGCTCCAGCGTGTAACAACTTATATTCAGCATGTCAAACATCTTACTCTACTCAAAATTTAACAACTTATCTTGGCAATTATTCCACATCTGTTTTTAAGGCTAGAGGTAAACTTTAGAATGGATTTTCTTTGCATAAAGTCAATTTCTATCTTCTAATTCTAGAAACAGGAGAAGGATTTAATGCCGAATTTCCGGCTGGTCCATTATATAATGACACAAAATCATGTATACCAAGTTTCAAAGTCGAGTTTTTGTGCAATAATAGTGCGGTGTGGCTTGCACCTGTTGGTGGTATGGCTAAAGCACCAGCACCAACTAATTTGGTTATTGGTAATGGTGAAAATCCATGCGCAGTAAAGAACTTTTCGTTTTTGTACTACATATTGTTTACCTGTCTTTGATCCTAGTACAAGTGTACAAAAAAAGAAGCATTTCTCCTTCTATTAGTCGGCAGCTTGCATCACACTCGTCTTCCTTTCCTCGCTTTCCCTTCTAAATTAAATTTTCCTCTCCTTTTGATATAACCTTTATTCTTTCAGTATACACAATTTAAAAAAAAAATAAAACTTATATCAAAAGGAGAGGAAAATTTAATTTAGAAGGAAAAGCGAGGAAAGGAGGACGAGTACGATACAAGATCGGCAGTATTCCTTTAGTCTTCCTACCATTTAGCTTAAGTTTTTTTCTATGTCTGTTAGATTACAGCTACATTTCATTATTCGGGTGCGTGTTATGAAAAGCCTGCACCGCCAAAGAAACCCAATAGAATGAGTGGAGGTGCGGTTATATTAATCATGTGAGTATCATAATAAAGAGCATTTAGTTTTTCACGTATTGATTGAACTTTTTTTCTTTCACAGTGTATTAGTTGTTGTTTGTGTTTATTTAATTGGTGGAATTGCGTATAATTCATTTGTTGCACATCGATCCGGCATTCAACTTATTCCACATGCACAATTTTGGCTAAAACTGCCCTTTTATGCTATTGTAAGTTACTTGCCACACTATTAAGAAGTTATATTTATTCGTTTTTTTTCTCAAATTTTAGGAAGGGTGTCGTTTTTCTGTAGGAAAATTAACCGGTCAGCAACGGGCGGGTGCGGGCGCCTATCAATCGGTGTAACTTGATCCTGAATAATAATAAACTTTTCTCTATTTATCCTTCAGTTTTGTTTTTCTGCGGTGATGAACGTTTCAAAAAATACCGTTAAATAATACATGTATCTTATCAGATCTCAAAAATATGGTTAATAGTCTAGTTTAGCGGAATTTTAAACAATAGTATATTAAATAAGAGCTCATTATGGGTCATATTGTTATCATCAACAAGTAATTCCATACAGTTTCCTTCATGTTTTATAAACGCAAGGTCTCACTATATCTATAATGTGTCAAGTTGTGTACATAGCATCTGACAAAATATGTGCTGAACTTGACTAAAACTTGGACACGAACATTCTTTTTCACTTTCATCAGTTCAGAAAAGCTTAGCTTTTTACTTTCAACAAGCAATTTTGAATAGATCCAAATAACATTAAATAGAACATACACAGTTGTACTTTTAAAGAACGTTAATTCATATCTTTTTAAAAATGATTTTCATTATGTTATACAAAGGAGAAAAAGCAGTCATATTTAAAGCTGTTTCCCTCCAATCGTAAAAGAAGATGGATGTTTTATTGCTTTTGAGAATAGTGTCGGATAAATATACATAGCTGTAGTACTTGTTGAGTTGACTCTCAAAGTTCAAATCCTTCTGGTCGATACACAGTCTCAAAGAGTTTTAGTTGTAAAAAGAGATTCTAAGATTCATATTTTGCGGGCTTTCAACGAAAAGTAATATAACTCTTTAACTAAGCATTTCCCAGAGCTGGGTATATCTCATTTTGAAGAAAACGCTTTGAAATATTTGATTTTGTTATGTAAGACTTTTAACTTTTCTCGGAAAGAGCTGGAAAAATTTTAAAAAGTAAAAGACTGAGAAAAAAGGATAAAAAAAGTTAAGATCTATATCATTCAACATAGAAATATTTTTGGAAAAAAAGGTTGCCTCTCATTTTGAAGATGATCCTTGATTCTACATAGGCTTTGGAAGAAAATTACTGTCTACTATTGTACTATTACACTCGTAAATTTTATTTTACACTGGCTTTTTATCTCATGTCTACTGTATGCATAACATGGATAAGTACGCTGTTTTATCTGGTAGACAAACAGGCTTCTAGAATTTTAAATATTTTAAGTTAAAATTGTTTCCTTATTTGATTTTCATAAACAGATGTATCAGTTCTCTTACAGTTTTATGTCTATCTGAAAAGTATTGTCAGAAAAGAGGATGAACCGGTTGCATCTTGTAGAGACTGCAAAAAGAGCGCTCTAAAAATTTTAGCGATCAGTCTAATTTCGTTCAAGATCTATGGGTAGATAAGCGCTGTACTGTTTTTGGTAGTCGAACATGATTTTTTTCTTTCTTTCCTATTAAAGTGGGTACAAATGGCTTTTTAACGTGATATTCTTTTAATTTTTGATTATCTTTCTCTAA